GATTAGTTTTTTGTTCAATCTTTGGAAACGCTATTTTGTACAGTCTTAAGAGTGTGTGTTTAAAGATATCGTAATCCGTATTTATGTTTTTGCAATTCGTAATCTGACCCCAGTTTTCTTTCAATAAGTCGCTTCAAAACTTTATTATATTATTTAGATTTATTTGTCTTTTAATTACAGTTATTGCTTCTTTTTTTTATTTATTGTTAAAATGGTTAAGCGAAAAAAAAAATTATAAAGTGGTCACTTATGTCAGATCTTATTATTCCACTTTGAATGTTGTACTTTATAGAGTTGTTTGAAAAGATGTTATCAAAAAGGGATATATATATATATATATATATATATATATATATATATATATATATATTTATATATATATATATATATATATATATATATATATATATATATATATATATATATATATATACATATATGTTATAGCTCTGACTTAGTTTATCGAGCACTTTCTTGATAGTATATGCACAAAATAGCATCACTACATATATATATATATATATATATATATATATATATATATATATATATATATATATATAAACACTCAGGTTTAGTTCAACATAAAGAAAACCAAATATCAAATGTTTGTCTTTTGTACGAACCTATACCTTGTATGAACAGCAATGGGGATGGTTTCCAACAGTTTTCTGTAGAGGTGTACCAGATATTTTTGCCGGATATCCCGGGGATTAAACTTTTCTAAAGTTCTATAAGTGTTTATGAAGAAAAAACAAGTTTTGCCTTTCTACATTAAATAGTGTTCAAGATTTAAAAAAATTAAATCAAGAAAAAACTGGTATAACTCAGGTATATGCGTTAATAATGTACAAGGAAAAATCGTTTTTATAACCAAATTTTTGTTTATTTTTAATTACTATTTTCTATATTTTGTCAGCACATATCCCATTTCATACAGTTTAGCTCTTGATTTGTTGGAGTAAGATCTTGAATACTATTTATTGTAGACTGGCAAGACTTTTTTCTTCATAAACACTTATAGAATTTTAGAAAACTTCAATATCCAGCATATATAGCGGTGTTCCTCAGGGTTCAATCCTCGGGCCCCTACTTTTCTTGATATATATAAATGATCTGAATAAAGCTTCTAACCTTATAAGCATTATGTACGCAGATGATACCAATCTATTCCTCTCAAACAGTAATATATACGAACTCTTTACTACTATGAATAAAGAATTAAAACATATATCAAACTGGTTTAAATGTAATAAGCTAACTTTAAATATTAATAAAACCAAATGGACTCTATTCCATTCGCATGCAAAAAAGCGATTTTTACCAATAAATTTGCCGAAACTTTTTATTGACGAAATTGAAATAAAAAATGATTCCGTTACAAAATTCTTAGGTGTTTATCTCGATGAAAACATCTCCTGGAATCAACATATTAATTATATATTTACCAAAATTTCAAAAAACATTGGGATTCTATATAAAGCTCGTAACTACCTAAATAAAAATTGCTTAAAACAACTTTATTACTCTTTTATCCACAGTTACATAAATTATGCCAACACTGCTTGGGGGAGTACTGTAAAAAGTAAGTTAAAACTTCTTTATCGTCGTCAAAAGCATGCGATCCGCATAATTAACTATGCCGATCGTTTTACACACACAAAACCTCTTTTTACTGAAATGAGATTGTTAAATTTATTTAAACTCAATGTATTTAAAGTTTTATGTTTTGTATATCTATGGAGAAATAATCAATCCCCTACCGTTTTTAATAATACTTTCAAACTCAAACCTAACAACAAATACGACATGAGAAACATAAACTTTTTAAAAGAACCATTTTGTCACACAAAATTTAATCAATTTTGCATTGCTTATCGTCGACCCCACCTATGGAATAATATAGTTTTGCAGAATTTTGATTTACCAACTTCCTTTTACCTTTTCAAGCTCAATCTAAAAAAATGTATTATTTCACTTGATAATATACACAGATACTTCTAATATTTTGAAAATTGTTATACAACTTGAATTCAGTACTTTATTTTAATTTTTACTTTATTTTTTAGTATCTTATACTGGTATTTATTTTGCTTGTTTGTGCTTTATAAGGTTCTGATGACAAGATCTTGTGATCTTCTTTCAGATCCTAGCTTATGTTTCATTGTAAGCAGTTTATGTATGTGCGCATCTACGCATTTGTATGTTTATATATGCTTATATTTATATATGTATGTCCGTGTTTTTTCTTATTTTAATTTAGTTGATAAATGTTGTAACACGAATTTAATTGTAACACGATATATATGGCATATATAATTGTACTTTGACATTTTAATGTAAGCAAAATTAAAAAAAAAAATAAAAAAATAAAAAAATAAAAATATCCGTCAAAAATATCCGGTACACCTCTAGTTTTCTGCAACTTCGGTCATGGAACTTCCTGGCTGAAATATAATAAATAATCATAGGGAGAGCTAAATATAAGGTAAACATAGTCATTGTGTAGAATAATACTTTATCAAATATGGGTTTTAACTCTAAATTTTTATAAGTTTTCTAGAAGTATATTTGTATATATACATCCAAAAATTGTATATATACATCCAGAAATAGTAAAAAAAATAGTTTTAAAAATAAAATGCTAGCTTTGTAACCAAATATTTAATATTTATTTATCATCCCAATCTTTTCTAACAATTTCTAGTAATTAGCTGAGCGGATATTGGATAAAAAAAGGCTAGCTGATGACTAGCTACTAATTCACATGTTGAAAAATTATCGGATGGCCACTTATGGCGGATGCTACTACTAGTTTACAAAGTAATCCATAAGTAAAATTCTAATGGTCCGCTAAAAATACTGAAATTGGTCCACTGCAAATCTGTTACAAAAGTTTTTGCTGGGTATTAATATATAGGTTGTTGATATTTCTAGCTAAAAAACAGTGGTGTGTATACATACCACAGCTTTTGAGCAAGCGCTATTTATTATTCTATTATTTTAGGTTACTATAAAGTAAAGAAAAGTCTGTATTTACTCGATTGCTACGTATAGAGGCAATTTTAGGGGAAGAAGAGTGTGGGGGTGTTCCGCCCCCTAAAAAAGATCGTTTTCAAGTCAGTTTTTTTTCTCTTTTAAAGAGAAGTATACAATGTAGGTGCTTTTAATAAATTAACCCCCTCCCTCCCACTAATTTATTCAAAGGACCGCCTCTAGATACGTATCTCAACTCTATACCTATCAACATGGGAACTTATTTATTTTTTTGAGGTCTACTGTGTAGTAATATTTTACAATGTATAGTTGCTAACTATATCTTTTTATTGTTATTATTTTTTTGAATATATGTTTTTATTTCTTTTTTGTTTATTAATTTTTATAGTTTAAATAGTTCTTTATATATTTTACTATATTAATTGTTCTTTTATGTTTAATATATATCGATAAAATTGGTTTTGTTAATTATGAGATCTTATAGTTTTTTCTTCAGGGCAATAAGATTATCCAACTTAATAAGTTTTATATTTTGAGATATTATTTTGTTGTATAAATAGGGGCCACGGTATTTAATTGAAAATCTCGAAAATTTTGTTTTTTACGGGCAATGTAAAATTTTGTGTGATATATCTGTTGACGTTGGTTTGAAAAAAGTTATTAGTAAAATGCTTTGGGACAAGTCCGGGTCCGAACTTATATTTGAGGATAATTAAAATAGTTTGTTAGATGTTAATTTGATAGATATTTAAAGCATTCAAGTTTTTAAGTAAAGGATCGGCATGAGTGAATTTATTTTTATTATAAATCAATCTCGATGCATTGTTTCGGCGTATATATAGAGAATTTAATTTAGATTTATTTTTACCTTCCCAGGCAATATTAGCATATGTTGCATAACTCTGTATATAAAAAGAGTAGAGAATATTTAGATTCTCCTGGGAAAGTATAGGTTTGACTTTGTAAAGTATGCCGATACTTTTCGATATTTTTGTATTTAATATTTTTATATGGGCTTTCCAAAAAATCGTTTTGTCAATAATTATCCCAAGAAATTTAATAGTTTCAGTTCTTTCGATGTTTATGTTATCAATTTTTAGTAATGGTAGCATGCTTAGTATTTTGGTTTTTTGCTGGTTGGAATGAAGCAAGATGCATTTTGTTTTTTCTGTATTTAAAGAATTTTTTTGCTTTAAACCAAATGTTTTGACTCTCAAGATCATCATTTGTAAAAATAAAAGAGGACCTTGAGGAACTCCGCATGGAACCTTGAGGAACTCCGCATTTTATTTTTAGTAAGATCATCATTTGCAGTTTCAAAGAGATTTTCAATTGATGTTTCTGAATAAAATAAACTTGTGTCATCAGCAAACATTGTTGCATTGAGTTTTTTTAGTGATTGTGGAAGATCGTTAATATAAATTAAAAATAATAGAGGACCAAGAATGAGACCTTGAGGAACTCCGCATTTTATTTTTAGTAAATTAGAATATTTATTATTGTTCAAAATAACACATTGTTGTCTGCTGCACAGGTATTTTTAAATACCTATTTTATTTAGGCTAGTATTTTTAAACCAATCTAGGCTAGTATTTTTTATTCCGTATTTTTCCTTTTTTTTTTTTTTTTAGTAAGATATCATGAATAATTGTGCCAAATGCTTTGGATAGGTCTATAAAAAGTTCCTTATTCAAATTGCTTTTTATTAAAAAAAATCACTAATGCTATTAACTTAATCTAAAATTGTATGTTCTGTTAAGTGCTGCGCTTGAAAGCCGAATTGTTTTTTATTTAAGAATTTTTTTTGAATTAGGTAATCATATAATCTATAGTAGATTATTTGTTCAAGTATTTTAGAAAAGGTTGGATGTATTGAGATTGGTCTGTAATTGTTTATTAGAAATGTTTCACCGTTATTAAAAATAGGTACAATTTTAGCAACTTTTAATTTATCTGGTACAGTTCCAGTTTTAATTAATAATTATTTTTTTGTTATATTGTAGGATTTTAGTTGTAATCGTTGTTGTTTTGAGAACTTTCGAAGTAACTATTGATTTTGATACACTTTTTAGTTCAAAGCCGAGGTAATTTTTTATATTTATGTTACCAAATTAAGATTAATTAAAAAGTTTTAATTTTCGTATTTTTTATGGGTAATGTCTATTTTTTTGGTAAGGCAAGTTTGTACTCTACCCCTTTTTCTTATCCTTTACTTGAAAATACATAAGTTCGTTTGGTAAATGACCTAATTGATTTTATTATAATTGGTAATTTTTTGATATTTTTATTGATTTTATTGATTTTATTGATTTTATTGATTTTATTGATTTTTTTATTGATTTTTTTATTGATATTTTTATTGATTTTATTGATTTTTTTATTGATATTTTTATTGATTTTTATTGATATTTTTATTGATTTTTATTGATATTTTTATTGATTTTTATTGATATTTTTATTGATTTTATTGATTTTTTTATTGATATTTTTATTGATTTTATTGATTTTATTGATAATTGGTAAATGACTAAATTATTTTTTCTAATAAACTTCTTTTAACAAGTTTAAATCCTTTTTAGAAAATGTTGGGATTTTTTTGTAGTAGAAATGCAATTATTCTCTTAAATTATAAGTGATAATTGTCACTTTTAATTTAACAGTATTGCTACTACAAAAAAATCCCAACATTTTCTAAAGAACTTTTTAAGAAATTGTAACTTAAGTTAAATCAACGAGGAAATCCGTTGCGCAGTGGCTATATAATTCAAATTTCCTACTCCATCAAATATTTCAAGTTTTATTTGCACAAACAATTTCTAGCTATTGTCATATATACCATAGCAGCCGTGACGCAGTGGTTAGAGTTCTGGCTCAGAATACAGAGGTGCGAGGTTCAAAGAGGCGTGAACTTTCTGTTAAATGCTATCCCGCGGTGCTTTGTGATAAAACCGTTAGGAATTCTGGGAGCACATAATTAACTAAAAAAAAAAAATTTTTAACTCAACTTTGGAAGCTTTTTAAAATTTCTTTCGGTTGGGAATATTTTTAACTTCCAAAAAATATCTCCTTTTTTTAGCTGGTAATTTTTGATATATGTGTATGCATTGTAAATATTCTTTAAAGGGCAATATTAATAAAAAAAAAGAGCTGGGAATGAGCAAAAAAGTTTTGGTGAAAATAGTATAATGAAAATAAATGAAAAAAAAACCTTTTAGATACTGCCAATAAAATAATTCTACTACTTTTTTTTTCAAAAAAAAAAAAATATATATATATATATATATATATATATATATATATATATATATATATATATATATATATATATATATATATATATATATATATATATATATATGTATATATATATCCCAGACAGCAAGCTTACATTGGACCAACGTCGGGCCAATGCATGATGATGCATTGGCCCAACGTTGAAAGTCGATGTTGGCCCAATGCAGGTTTGATCATTGGTTAGGTATTGGCCCAATGTTGTGTACAACATTGGCCCAATGTTGTATACAACGTTTACCCAACATTGGCCCAACGTTGTATATAACGTTAGGTCAACGTTGTATACAACATTGGCCCAACGTTGTATACAACATTGACCCAACGTTGTATACAAAATTGGCTTAACGTTGTATACAACATTGGCCCAATATCGTATGTTATATATCGGCCTAACGTTTTATGCAACATTAGATCGTGGTTACAAATAAGATGATTTGCATCGCTACATTGAAAATTTATAGAGAAAAAAAAAGAATGTATGATACAAGTATAAAAATTTATTTAACATAATTTCTCGGTTAAATATACATATTGCAAACACCAAACTTAACCTAAAAACTGACAAAATTCACTATAAAATTTATAGAGTAGTTTCGATATTGGCTGAGCTACTTGTTATTGAATCGTGTTTAGCTTATGATATTTGGTGCCCATGATTATTATTTTTTCTTCCTCTATCTCTATCACATGTCTGCATAAGCCATGCTTATTTGACTTCACAGTTTCTGCAAAAAAAATAGTTGTTTGTTTAATTATGCACCAAAGAAACATAACAAATTGAAAGTAAGTCTGTAATGCAAAATTGAAACTGAAAAAATAAACTTTTCTAAACCACTTACCAATAGCAGCATATGCAATCAACATTTTTTCTATTCCAATTTTTTGTCCTCTCCCTGCATAGTTTAATTTTACAACTAGGCCATTTTAAAAAACTATTCTTAGCAAATAAAATATATAATCTCCTTTGTCTTTAACTCCGACTTGTGCCAAATAATTGACCTGCAAAAATACACAACCTGGCAATAATTAAAGTAACTTTTGTTTAGACTTAAATTAATATAAAATGTAATTTACAAAAAATCTTCAAAGAGTATTTTATTTAAAGTATATAAATTGTACTAAGATATCATACAAAATGCATAAAAAAATTATAAAAAAATATTTACCATTTACTTACGTATTTTCTTTTCTTCCAGAGTACTTGAATTCTTCACTGCAATGACACTCTTTCAGGCAATACAATAATTAGCATACCTTTGTTACTCAAACTTTTATAACTGAATTTGATGTGTTTTGTAGTTTACCAAGTTGTACTTCAATGACAACTAAGAATGAACACTAAGAAAAGCATAAGTTTCAGAAAAAATAAATGGGTAGCACCAAAAAAACATAATAGCTTAATTGAGCGTTGTATTTTGAAAATGTGACAAGTCACAAAATTAAAATTTTACAACGGAGTGAAAAATATTTCTCCTGTAAAAAATTTTATTTTTATTTTATTTAAAAATTGTTTCTTTTCTCTAAAAAAATCTTTATTTTATCTAAAAAAATCTTTATTTTATCTTTTATTTTAAGTGAGGTTATTTGAAAAGAATATTTTTTTGAAAATATTCTCTTCAAATAACCTCACTTTTAAAAAAAGTGTGACTCATCACGTTTTCAAAATACAGCGTTCATTTGTGAAACGAGTAACTTCTTAACTAGAATTACTGATCTTTCCATGACTATCTAAAGAAAAAAATAATTTCCTGACTTTTCCAGGTTTTCCACGACTTTAGCCAATATTAACAAATTTTCCAGATTTTCAAGGTACAGTACGGACCTTGTCCAATGTTTGTAAATAATTTTTTTTACATATTTTAGTTCTGAATTTTAATAACACTATTTTAAAAAATAATATTACCTATAAAGATATTGTATTACCTTCGTCTATTAGATAAATTTAAATAAACGTTTATATAATGAATAATAATGAATCACCATCAACTGTTAAAACTATAAACTGATATGAATACTGATATAATACAAATACTGTTGTTTTTTTCAACATTTGATTTCAAATGGTTTTCAAAGTTGGTGACACCAACTTAGAAATCCAACAAGAAATTTTCGTTACGTTCATAAACTTAAATGTTCTCAAAACAACTAAAAAACCTGGCCAGTTTTTCACAACTAAATATATTTTCTATGGTCAGTATTCAAGAACGATCGCTCCTGCTTCCTGACCAAGCCTGTGGTGTAAGCTTTGACATGTTGATTATTACACAATAAAATCTTAACTAACACTCTGACTTTTTGACCATAATATATGAAAAAGTCTTTAAAATTGTAAAAGTTAAAGCTATGAATAAAGATTTTCAATCATCAGACATAAAGACTTTTATATAAAAACTTACCATTTAATAAATTTTGTTCATTAAACTTCTCAGAGCAAACATTGAACTTCTGTAAAGAGTTTCGAGTTACAGATAAATCCCAAAGTTTAATAATATTTTTTGTTTTATTATAAGAAATTGAGGATAAATCATCTACACCAAGATATACACAATTTTTTGTCTCTGTCATTTTTGCTGTCTTCCTTTTTTTTCTCCAGAGTAAAAGTTTAGCCTTCTGCTAAGTTTAATCTTGTATTGCTTTAAAAATCTATAAATCAAATCATTATTAATTAAGTTATAACTAAAGTTAATGTATAAGATTAAAGTTGTTAACTGATGTACGCACACTAAATATATAAAATATCCAGAGATATTAAATTAAAAAATAATAAAACCAAGAATTATGTCCCTCTGCCTCAGAAAGATGGAATATATAAAGGGTTTATATATAAACCCTCATTCAATGTAGCAGCACTTCCTTGTAGCAGCAGGCTATAAGATAGTTGATGTAGCAAAACCCCCTGGCACAACAAGCGCAAAAATATAATTATTTTAGGCTGTGTAACTGTAGCTTTACCGTTTTTAATAATTATTTATTGATTTAATCTCATAATTCAATTAATTATTATAGACTAGTCATTGGTCTTAAAATAAAATGTCTGGCAATATTAGAAAGCTCTACATAAGTAGAATATAAATTCTAGAAACATCACTTTTTGTACAGTTTTAATATATTAGTAGATGGGCTTTCACAATCAAACACAGAAAAAATCAAACAAAAGAGTCATACTTAAAATGTAAAATATCAGCTTCTAATAACTTCAATGCCACATATGTATTATTGATACCTTTAATAATATATTTTATAATAGCTATACAATCTAAACTATTATAAACAAATTATGAAAAAAAAAACTTATACTGTGTGACATTTCAAATTTTTGATTTACATAATAAAGAAGACATTTAAAATGTCTTCTTTGTTAAATAAATCGAACATTTGAAATGTTTCATTTATTTAATAAAGATTATTAAATAAATCAAACATTTAAAATGCCAATACAGCAATAAAAATAAAAATAATAACTTTAAGATCTTACACAAAAATAATTTGATTATTGCCTTTATTGTTACATTAATAATTTAGATTGTAGTATAAAATGTTTTAAGCATTACGTTTAAATGTTAACAAATATTTCATTATTTAAAAAAACAAAACATTAAGTCACGAGAATCTCTTGAAATTTATTTCTTATAAGGAACCTTTTAAGATTCTTGGAAGACTAATAAATATACCTTCTTTTTTTTATTTTTATAATTTAAAAAAATGGAAAGATAATATCAAAACTTTTTTTCATTCTGTCAAACGATGCCATTTTTAAAAATGTTTTGCAACAAATTTTAAAGTATATACGAATATTGGCTACGGTATAAATGTAAGAACAGCAAAATATTAAGCCCAAACTACATTGGCCAAATGTTGGCCCAACGTAGTACGATAATTGCAAAAAACCGATTTGTAGAATTGCAAGTATTTTAAAACAGAATTCTTATTCAATTCAGAATCGCTGACCACTTTTGTGGAAAAGATTCTCAAACATTGTTTCCGAAAAGAAAACTTCTCTACATCAGTTCAAAACTGATTCAAAACAGTTTTTAATTAAACACAGATTTTGATATATTTTATTATAAGTCTTTCTTTTAAAATAGATCAGATATATCAATTATAAATAAAAACAAGGTAACTGTTCCTTGTAATCATTAAAAAAAAAAAAGGTTAAAAATTTATTGACAATAACCATTATCACAAATCACATTTTCTTGTTTTTTATTTTATGAGTGTATATATTTATACTCATGTATGTGTATATTTGTACTTATTTATGCGCGTATATGTATATATGTATATGTGTATATGTATATGTATATATATATATATATATATATATATATATATATATATATATATATATATATATATATATATATATATATATATATATATATATATATATATATATATATATATATATATATATATATATATATATATATATATATATATGTGTGTATATATGTATGTGCGTATGTGTGTGTATGTATGTATATATATGTATTTATATATGTGTGTTTGTGTGTGTTCGCTTATATGTGTAAGTGTGCAAATGAGTATAAAAATTTATATATATTCATTTTTACTTTAATTTTGTCTATTTATGATATTATGTATTAAACGATATCTTATTTTATTTTTTGAATTCTTTTAAACATTTATTCAATTTTTCTTATATACTATATATTCTTGTAAAAAATTATAAATTGTAACACGGTGCTCGGCGATAAGGCAAATTAAAATCTTCTACTTGCTTCGGCCTTTAACTTAATTGTAAATTTTTGTAAACTGTAATATATATTAAACGGCAAAAATATAATGAAAAAAAAAAAAAAAAAAATTGATTTGTTGAAGAAACTGTGGTCAAACTTTGTCAATTCTTATCAAAATATAAATAGGTGTCAAAAGATAGGTGTTGGAGTGGGCTACAACTTTAGGTTAAACTCTGACCACTGGGCGTATCAGAGACAGGACAGACAATATCCGGACAGAAACGGCACCAAACCACCAGCTTACCCGTGTGAAACTGGACACTTTTTTAAAAAAAAGTTTTTTATTAAGACATAAGCAATATAAATATACAAAAAAATTGTTTAAATTTATATTAAACCAAAATATATAAGAGGGGTATGTTAACAATAGAGGTGGATATGGTGGTGATGGTTTAATACACCCTTTTATCAAAAACGACTTGATTTTATTAACATTTATATCTTTAGTAAAAAAAAAACGTATATTATAATAGTATCTATATAATAATTACTAAGCTATTGAATACAGAAAGTAAGTAACTGGTAATGTCGGCTACAACTTCACAACAACTTTGAGCATCTGAAACAGCAAAATAAATAATTAAGTTATAAATAAAGGTTAGATTGTGGCCAAATAATAATTTAAAACAGTTTAATAAATTATTATTAAAATATCTTATTCATAACGATATTCCTTAATAAATAAACTTTATTTATTAAGGACTATATTTATGAATAAGTTATTTTAAAGACAACGTTCTTTATTATAAAGACAACGTTCAAACTTCAAATTAGATATGATACGTAACTAATTTGATTCATACCTAATTCATATTATGAATATGATATGAAATACTATGTGAAATCTTTTTTTTCTTTCTCCATTTTTATTTCTAAATGATATATATTTAAGAAATTGTATGAGATAAGATAAATTTGTGCGTCTTTCTTTTATTATTTTAAATAAGGAAGTCTTTATATTGTTACTTAATGATCTTTTGCCTAAATTTTTCAGCACAAATGCCAAGGTAATACATCTGATAAAAGATTAGTATCTCTACAACATGAAGCCTCTACAGTCAATTTCACTGGTAGCAACATTGAAACTGTTGATAATATCAGTTCTAATTCAGATTCCGCAAAGTTAATATCTGAGTTTAAGTCAATCGGGACTTTTTGAGCGGAATTTTTCATTCATAAAAACGCTCTAGCATAAAAAGTAAGCAGTTCCATCTGGTTTTATTCTTTAATATTACTGACAGTTCTTTACCATGTTCGGTTTATATAAAAACTTGAATGATTTGCCGTTTGGGTTCCATGGGTTAGACAAAGTTGATAGTTGTGGGACGATTCCACATTCTTCATAACCGATGCACCATCCGTGGTAATGCATACGATATTGCGATCTAGGAAAATCTAGTTAATGCTAAGAAATGTCCATTAACTCGTGCTAAAGCCAAATTCCAAAATCTGTTTTGAGATATAGCATAAATGTTCAAATAAAGTCTATTTTTCAAATAAGTCCACTCGTCAAATGTAAGACTAAATTGGTCAATCAGCAACTTTCTTCGCTCATTGAGTGTTAAAAAACCCCTGAATGGCAAGCCATCGGTGACCGTCATTTTAGCTAAAATATTTGGCAGTGTATCTTCGTCTTTTATTAGATATTATCGCGCCAATAGCTCTCTAAAAATCTCCGTGTCCAAACTCGCGCGAATTCTTATTAAACAATTTTTGTCAGATGAAAAAAATAACTGAAATACTTATATATACCGGTACTTAGAGTTCGGTATCGGAATCGGAAAAACGGCCGATATACCGAAATATCGTTTTTCGGTATACCGGTATTAGATGCCCTAAAACAGGGGCAAGAAGAAGACTTAGAATATCTTAATGTCAAGTCCCTAGATAAATTTCGTAAATATAAAGAATAAGAAATTTTTGTACATTTTATAATATAAAACAAACAAAAAAGTCAAATAAATATACAATTTGAAGCTGAATTAAATAAATTTTTTTAATATATGATTGAAAGCTTATAAATTTATTTATTTAAGGAGATTTTGAGCTAGGAAAAAATCAAACAAAACTAAAGAAAACAAGACAAAAAAAAATAAATATGAAAAATACGAAAAAGCAAAATACAAAGACTAAAATATCGGAAAGCATTTTTTTTTTATTGTTTTCTAGGTGACCTGAGAAGACCTAACGGTATTGTCCCAGAGCGCCGCGGAGGTGCATTTAACCAGGAAGTTCACGCCTCAAAAATTGTTCATACTGCGTGATTTTCAACACGCGGTATAAACAGTTTTGCTTTAGAGATTATCTAATATGTTCTTATTTATAATCTAAATTTTGTTTCTTCGAAATCATAATAAAAAAATTTAAAAATTTCGAAACCAAGACTTTCAAAGCAGTAACTTGCGAAAAAGTAAATTACGGAGGAAAACTTTCAAAATACGTCCAAATAAATATATTTAATTATATATTATAAAAAATAAATACGTTTAATCGAGTAAATAATTATTTTATCTGCAAATTATTTATTGATAGTTGGAAGTGCCAAATGCGTATATAAATTTTTATATAAATATTTGTAGGATTTTAAATTATTTATTAAATTATTTATTAAATTATTTATTAAATTATTTATTAAATTATTTATTAAATTATTTATTAAATTATTTATTAAATTATTTATTAAATTATTTATTACATTATTTATTAAATCATTTATTTAATTGTTTATTAAATTATTTATAAAATTACTTATTAATCTATTTACTAAGTTATTTATTAAGTTATTTACTAAATTATTTATTAAATTACTTATGAAATTAAATTATTTATGAAATTAAATTATTTATGAAATTATTTATGAAATTATTTATTAAATTATTTATTAAATTATTTATTAAATTATTTATTAAATTATTTATTAAATTATTTATTAAATTATTTATTAAATTATTTATTAAATTATTTATTAAATTATTTATTAAATTATTTATTAAATTATTTATTAATATTATTTATTAAATTATTTATTAAATTATTTATTAAATTATTTATTAAATTATTTATTAAATTATTTATTAAATTATTTATTAAATTATTTATTAAATTATTTATTAAATTATTTATTAAATTATTTATTAAATTATTTATTAAATTATTTATTAAATTATTTATTAAATTATTTATTAAATCATTTATTAAATTATTTATTAAATTATTTATTAAATCATTTATTTAATTGTTTATTAAATTATTTATAAAATTACTTATTAATCTATTTA